TCTTTCCTGTCTCAGGAGGGAACAATTAAAGAAGAGGGAGCCCCAGCGTTAATTAAGGTTGTGGTCACATCACAGAGGTGCCCTTTGGGTCAGTGACTTGTCCGCTGATCCAAGACATGGTTTGGGAATACAGCTGACCCTCCAAGGCAGCGCTGCTGGAGACCAGAGGGCCTGGCCCTGGGGCCTCAGCCCGGCAGGGCCTCCTGGGTGGCGATAATGTCCTTGAGACGAGGGACAGGCCATGTGTGTGACGGGCTGATGTGAGGCGAGGCTGACTTTCAGGCGGTTTGGAAAACTACCAGGTGCCTGGCCCTGGGGTGGCGTGAGAAGTACCAGCTCCCCCCAGCCCCTCAGCCCCTCCCCGTGACGCCGCTGCTTCCTCCGCCTTCTCCCCCTGGCGGTCTCGGCCCTCCTGAGCCCGTCCTGGGGCAGGCCCGGCTCTGCGTCCCCGGCTGTGCTGTGTTGCAGCCTCGGGAATGGGCGCAGCAGCCACCTCCAGGCACCTTGCTCCGCTGGTTTTTACCAGTTAACAGACATTTCCGTGGCGTTAATACTCCCAAGTTCACACACATTGAATAAGTAGAACTTTTGAAGTCAAAACGAAAGGCAGAAGCATGCTGCTCCTGCTAAGAGGACAGCCAGTGACTGGGAGTCGCTATCCTGACATTTGCCACGGGCGATCCAGGGGACTCATGCCACCCGCACCCTGGGGGGACAGCCAGCTGACAAACCAGGGCATCGAGCTCTGGATCAGGACCCTGTGGGTTCCGTTCAGTAGATCACCAGCCAGCATTAAGAGAAGAGAAAGTCTCAAGAGTGGTTGCATACAGTGAGGGAAAGTGTTAGAAAAAAGAAACTTGTTTCTCTGTGTGTGTGTAATACACATGTGTACATACCACGTGCAGAATGGGTTTTGGATACCCCGGCCACGCGCCTGCTCAGGTCTCCCAGGTGGCTCTGGCCTGTTACCGCGGACATTCCCCGTCGTCCTGGTGGAGCCCCTGCTGTGGGTCGGGGGTCCAGTCTCCTGGAGCCGCTGCGTGGACTGCTGGAGGGTTTTAATGCCCTGCCACCAAACGTGGGTCTGATACACCTGGGCTTCTGCAGGCTCCCCCTTCCTCCTTCCCACCCCACAATCTAAGACCCTCTCATCTGCACGCAGCCCAAGGAACCATCGCATTATTGGGCATTCTGGGAGAGCACTGATATCTGAGCTTTCCTCACCCTTTGTTCATGGAAGCTTTGGGAACCTGGAAACTTCTGGAATTCATTTCCAGTGGTGTAAATTAGCACTTCTCTGTTAAAACCCACCCGTACACTGAGGGCAGAACCCGCATCATTTCTCTGTTCAGAGTGTCCTTTGAGCAGAACACTTTGAAAAGTGGGTTTACAAAACTGATTTTTGTTGGACCAAAGTATTCTGGTTGCACACCTGTGTCTGCACATCTGTGTATCACAGCGTTTTTGTGGCAAGAATCAGGGACCTACATTTGCTTTCTTCCTCACCCCCCGCCCCCTACAGTCGGTGTGCCAGGGGCTGCGCTGAACTCCTTGCGTGTGTTGTGGGACGTTCGGTGTGGCCACCAGCGGGGTGTGCACTGTTGTCCTGGCACTGGCTGGCAGGAGGCGGGCCCACCAGCCACTGTTGCACCGAGACTTGGTGAGGAAGGGACGGGCACGTCCCGGGGCAGCAGGGCTTCCTCTGGAGTGGCCAGAACAAGGGTGCTGGTCCCCAGGGCCCTTCACTGCCACGGGCAGGGCTGTCTCCTCCCACTCCCAAAACGGCCCTTGTCTGATTTTCTTGAGGTTTCTTACTCTCTTCCTGCACCGCCCCCCACCCCCATCTGCAGCCTGATCTGTTGCTGGAATTCAGGGCTAAGGTGTCTGCTGGCTCGAGGCTTTCAGGTGATTCCTGGCCTGAGTTTGGAGCGACTGTATGAGTCTGAGTCACAGCTGAAAAAGTCGTTAAATTCTTTAATCTCTGTTGAGACATACTTGCGGTATAATAAAATGTGAAGATTTAAAGTGTCGATACCGATCGGTTTGGGCGCAGTGTACACCTGTGAATGGGCGTCACTGCATGAACGGAACCAGGGAGCCACAGGCGCTGTGGAAGCCCCGCTAGGCGCCGGGTGCTCTCAGAGATGCAGGTTGTGTCCCTGTTTATTTTTCACGTCACCGAGGAAGTTAAAAGACAGGTGACTGCTACCCCCATTAATTAATTAGAAAACGAAGAATCGCGAACCTACAGAAGGGACAGCTTTCTTCTTAAGACCTGCTTCTGAATTCCCTGGTTCGGGCTGCCCAGCACTGAGAACTGTGCTTCCCTCCTTTAGCAGCAGAGGAAGGAGGTGGGTGCAGGGAAGTATGAGCTATGCCAAGGGTTCGTTTTTAAGTTTCAGTGATCTGGAGGAAGGAGTCAGTTCCATCAGTGCCCACTGTGGAAATACTGCTGGGAGAACTTGAGTCAAATGCTGCTTTGCTGCCAGCTTTTCAGGAAGACCCCATTCCATGTGTGACAAGTGGCCCTGCAAACTGGGGGTCCTAGAGAGTTTAGGGGATAAAAGATAAGGATTTTCTTTGTTTCTCAACGAAGTACAAAGAAATAAAACCCTGTGCACAAGCAAAGAAATATCTGTTGGGCCCTCAGCCTCACACAGCATCTCTGTGATGTCTTTTAAACATCCTGTCATTGGAATTTTGAAATACGTTTAATTGTTTTGTCATGAAAAGACTTGTTGTTTTTTCGGTTCCTCGTGGGGTGGGGAGAGGGGTTGGTCTGTACTTCCTGGATGCCATGTTAGCCTTCGGGGGTCGGAAGACTAGATCTCTTATTAATCGTGACAATAAAGTATCTTTACCAGTAAGAGCAGTGGAAATGCTGACTTCATATTGGTTGTGAAAGAGCCTCTTTCACTCAGCCCCGCTCCTGGATCTTCTTCCAGTGGTGGTGGGACCGCTGCCCCTGCCTTTCGCCCCCACCCCCACCCCGCTGCCCGCAGGGACTTTATCCTGTTAGAAAAGAGACTGGAATTCAGGCTTTGTTTCTGTGTGTGCAACTAAGGAGAGCACAGGGAGAAAGGTGGAAGGCTAGTATACCCCCATCCTCAAAGTCACATCTAAAAAATAGTGTGTCCGCAAGTTGTGCAAAGACAGAATGTCACTGTCAAAGGCCTGGTGGGAACAGGTCACACGAATCTGTCACTAGGACACTGTGAAGCTGGCAGGGTTCTCCTCTGCTGGTACAGCTGTCCCCGTGTGCAGTTGTGAGAAGTGAGGCTCCTTCCCCAGGTCCCAGGGCAGGCAGCCCCAGTCCCGCGACCCTCAACCACTGGGGCGTGGGAGGGGCTGGTGGTGTCCGAGGCATCTGGGTTTGCATGAGGCGGGAGAGAAACGAGAGGTGGAGGCGCCTGGGGGGCTGTTTGGGTTCTGTCCGGTGCTCGGCCTTCGGTACTCAAGGCAGAGCGCAAGAACGGGGGCCTGGTTGTCACGGTGGCCTCCTCTGATGGGCGCAGTATCTGAGCTCTGTTCACTTGTTCTGCTCAGAATATTTCGGGGGCCACCCTTTCCCTTTTATGGTGTGAGTTTCTGTTGGCAGTATAGGAAGGCACATTTTGTTGAAGACAAAGATTTCCAAGACCCATCCAGTCTGACCTGCTTCCCTTTTGTTGTGATGCTCCGAGGCTGTTAGCTCATTTCCATGCGCCTCTGAAACTCCTTCGTGGATGTGAAGTTCGCTGGCATCCTGTTCTAAGAAGTTCAAAGGGCCCGGCTGCCTGTAAGCAGAGGGCAGCACCCCCAGCGTCCCCGCACGTCTGAGTGCAGTGTAGCCGAGAGGAAGGGCTCTTTCCAAAAGATGTTCTTTACTTCGTTCCTAATTGTTTGTGTGTAGATCTGTTTATAGCCGATTAAAGGAGAGATCTGGCCAGCAGTGGGTAATGGTTTAATTCACAGGGACCCCAGTCAAAATTGCTTGCACTTTACTGTTGCCACAGATGGATTACTGTAAAGGGCCTCCCTCTTTCAAAGGAAGTACAGATGAGAGTGATGGGAGGAGGCCTTTTTAAAAGCATGTAATCACTTCCATGTATAGCTAATGCTGAACCAAGATCGGGACAGAAAACGGTGGACCGCTCACTGGGTGTAACTGAGAGGGCTTCGATGCAGCAGAAAATGGCCTGGACTGGATGCCAAGGCCACATTTAGGTAGAATCTCCACGTAAAAGAGTGTGCCTGAAGGGCCCAGAGAGATGGCGGGGTGTGTGTGTGTGTGTGTTTGCGTGTCTGCCTCTTACCAGCAGAGACAGCCAGTGCTGGGATCAGACTTGCATCCTGTCTGCAGGGTTTGGAGGAGGAGGGGTTTCCTGGCAGGTCTCTGCTGGTAAACCGTTAGTAAAGGACCTTTACTGCAGGGCACCCACATTGAGCGGGTCTGCTCTCTGTAGGCTGTGCACACCTGCAGCACCTGCGGGGAGGAGGGGCATGGTGCAGGGGCGGCTGCGTCAGGCGGTCTGCTCGCCTCCCTTCCCCTCCGGCAGGCACCCTCCAGGAATGCGGAGAGCCGTGTCTTCCTCCTTCTACTGTGTTTATTGTTACAGTTAGCAGCACTGAACCAAATCGGTTATTGCGGGAAGCTAAGTAGTTGTGGTTTATGAAGGAAGCCTTCGCTGACGGCGCACCGCAGGGCAGCGCACCAGCCTTCCTGGTCGAGGATGTGCGTTCAGCTTCCCGGTTACATTTTGCATTTATCTGTTATCTTGCAAAATTGTGCTTAAAAACATAAAAACACCTAACTGAAACATGCATTTTCTTCCCCTAAAGTTGACTGACACCTCTCTTAGTGAAGAATAACGTGGTTCCTTTCTTTGTAAAAGAAATTTAATTTAAAAGTGTCAACAATATTAATGCACTTCAGAGAGTCACTTTTTCTAACATTAAACTTGTTAGGCCAGGGAAACCTGCCATCTTGTTGCTTACTGGATTTTCTCTGGTTTCTTCAGGTTCGCCATCGATGGTGTGAACTGGTTGTGAAGCACAGACACACAGGAGCGTACAGAGACGTGGAGCGATTCCTCCAGGAGGACCAGGTGAGCTTCGTCTTGAGCAGGTGCAGACTCCCTCAGCGCTGTCCTCTGACTCTGCGGGGCACTTAACACAGGGACTCAGGGAGACGCCTCTCTCATAACAAATATTTAAACATTTCCCAGGGATTTTAAAGAGTTGGTAGGAGCTTATCTGTCACGCTTTTGAGCTGATTTTTTTCCTTCTCCCTTGGTGTCCCTTTGAATCATCTCCCCTTGTAAAAGCTACCTCGCTGCAGCCCACTGCCACCACCAAGTGAGGCACGCACAGACCTCGCTGCGTCCCAGGCCTCAAGTTCGTCAGGTCACGGTTCTGGCCTAGTGACGCCATGGCGAGTGTCTGTGACTTCAGTGGCCCTGACTTAAAGTGTGTGCGAGATGAGACGGGGAGAGCCGCCACTGGCGGGAGGAGCCTGGCCTGTCTCTGCACCTACATGGCAGGCGGACCCCTGTGCTGAGTCTCCTTCCTGTGAGAACCTTCCTCACTGCTCACCAGTGAAAGGGACCCCTCGCTAGGAGTGTGCAGAAACCTGTTGAAGGTGTGGTCCTCGCCCCCTCTGCTGGGTCACCACCCACCCGCCGTGGCGCTGGCCTGGCTGTCCATGGCGGTGCGTGTGCCATGGCTTCTGTCGGCTGCGGGAAGTCGGCTGCAGCCTGCTCCTGCTGGCGTGGCCAGTGTGTGCCTCTCAGTGAGCGCTCTGCCCAGCACCGTGGGCTGACGGAATGGAGCCACGTCTGAGTCGGGGTGGCGAGTGGGGGCGGGGCAAACAAAGGGGCTTTTGAGAGCGCCTGAGTACGGGGGGCAGCCAGCAAGTAAGGGCTCGCTATTCCCACAAAGAAAAATACATGACTTTGTTCCAGAAGAAATGTCACATTTGCACAGTGAAGCAAGAGGTGTTTGGAAACACGGTCGGGGGGTGGAATCAGGACAAAATGGAGGCGCAACTTCAGGTCTGTTCTGAAAACCAGAATTAACTGCAGTATGTTTGGAACCACAATCTTTGCCAAGTAAGGATTACCATCAGTTTATTCAAGCAAGAATTTTTGAACCCCTAACCACCACGTTTTATTTTGCTCTATCTTTGAGGTCCTCCTTTTAATTTGCTCCAGCAGAATGAAATCCATAGCATAACTAAGCTTAGAACAAGAGGGGAGGCAGAACCAGAGGGGTCTTTTGGTCTTGCAGAGCACAGCTGGCTGCTTGCAGCCCTCCAGGGTAATGCACATGTGAGTCTCTGCAGCACTGTTTTGGAAACAGAAGGGCCAGTGTTGGCGGCTGTGGTGGGGAAGTTGGAGGAAAGCGGCGGGCGGGCAGGGCTGAGCAAGCGGGCGCCTTTCCCAGGGCGGCCCGACGGTCTCCCACCCCTGGCCGCCGTGTGTCGTGCCAGGGACACACTTTCCTGGGAAGAAGGCTTGTGCCTATGTGACATGGCACCTGGGGTGCACCTTTCAGCTGCAGGGCTCTCCGTGGGTACCTCCCGGTCCCTGTGTCCCCGTGTCTCCGACAGTCATCACTAGAGAAAGGCTTACTCAGCACTCTGCGGTCAGTTCAAACACCAGAGTCTGTAGACGGAACTGATGGGCAAGAATTCCTTGGGGCTTCAGTGAGAAAGAGAAGGGACTGAAAACTGCAGGTCCCCAAAGAACAGCCGCGCAGCTGCCTGTCCTTCCAGGGTCTCGGTAACCTCCAGACCAGGGCGCCTGCGCGGAGCCAGCCCAGCCTGCGCCTGAGCGCGTGGGGACACGTGGGGACGCGGGGTTTCCTTTTCTTAAACTCTGGCCTCTGTGCCCCCACAGGCCATGGGCATCTACCTCTACGGGGAGCTGATGGTGAGTGAGGACGCCCGGCAGCAGTGCCTCGCCCGCAGGTGCTTCGAGCTGAGCAGGGAGCACATGGACAGGTCCTCCGCGCAGGTGGTGGCCGAGATGTTATTTTAAAGAGGTGATTCTCTTGCTTTCCTTTCCCCATTGTTTGGCCTTAACCGAGATTCTTCTTAGGAGCCAAAGAAGTCAGTGAGCCACAGTGGTGAGCCAGGAGCCCCAGCAGCATCAGGGCTGTGCTCTCCCGGGGGGGCAGGTGGCGCCTCGTCTCTAAGCCGTCCACGCCCACACGGCAGCTCCCTTGGCACTGTCTCGTCCGCCTTGGTTTTGTTATTTGTGGGAACAGTTCGTGGGAGAGCATCTTGGGTCGGTTTCGGAGGTGAGCTGGAGAGGCCAGTGGACGTGCGGGCCCTGTCTTCAAGGCGAAGGCAGATGGGGGTGGGGGTGCTGCTGGGTTGTCCCCCCCGAGCTGCCCACGGCACACGAGAACTCAAGGTTCCGCGGGTTGTCCCTGTCTGGCTGGCGAGGAGGCAGGAGGTCCTGCGTTTCTCCAGGCCAGCGGTTACCTGGTCTTGGGGCAGAATTTCTCCCTGGCTTACGTTGGGAGTAAGTGGGAGTCCTGAATTACCCAGATTGCTTCCTCTGTTCATTGTGCTTGGAATTGACCTGTTAGATTTATATATCCTAGCAATTTTTAACTGTGGATTTCTGCATTTTAAAAGTAATTTAGCAATGGTACATAAAGTTTTGTAAGTAGAACTGTGAGATTATAAGTGTGATTTTTTTCTCTCTAACATTCTTTATCATTTCTGTGCGTGTTTCTCTTTAAGGGTTACATGATAGGGGATGTCTGATTTTGTGTCTTTTTTAATGTAGCATCAAACCTCAAGCATTTTTCATGTTATATAGCTTCTCTATGAACAATTTTAATGAATATTTAATATGTTAACTTGATATTTTTAACCTATTGTTGGGTATTTAGTTTCTGATGTTTTCCTCTTATAAAGACCATTTTTGTCTTATATGTTTAACTATCTTATTTATCTGAAAGAACTCTGATACTGAAGGGAGTGGTTTTCTAAAGTATGATTCCATTCTTCCAGAAGAGCCAGGGAACTGTGTTGGCTTGGAAATAGTAGAAGTGCCACGACTGTGCGTCTTGCAGTGAAACAGCTGTGTACAGGCGATCCCCAGAACTCCCCCGGGCAGCTTCAGACCCTATTCAGAGACGGGCCAGTTTGAAAAACAGAACAGTTGCACAGTTACCCTGTTGCCAGCCTCATACAGGAATCAGTATAAGTCATACTTCTCTTTAGATTGTTTTAATTTCACGGAGAGCTTGTGTCTCTTGAAGTGTGTGAAACTACAGTGGGGCAGACCGCCTTTGATGTTCCTGGATTCCAAGCTGTGGAGAAGCCACTGCGGGCTACACAGCTCTGGCATTCGTCATTGTGACTTCTGCCCCAAGCAGACGGAGGCCCAGCCTGGGCCCCGAGCCTGCTGTTTTCCCATCACCCCGTCCCTGCCCTTCTGGGATGAGCGCAGGGTCAGTGCGTGCCCTCTGCCCCCCACCCCAGCTTTCTCAGTGAGGGACAGTAACGGGGGCTCCCTGAGTTGCACCTTCCAGCAGCCAGGAATCCTTCCCACCCTGAGAGGGGCCCCCACAGACGTCCCAGCCCATTTAGAGCCTGTGCTCCAAGTAAAGGCGGGAAACGGAGCAGACCCAGAACGGCTGACTGGGGTGTTTTTCATCTTCCAAAGCCGCAATGGCATTTGTGTGATGAGTCCTTTGATTTAAAAAAATTACACCCCTAGGATGGCAAGTAAGTGAACAAACAGAAATAAAACCCATTTGATAGTGTAGCAGGCCTGGAGGTGGTGTCGTCGCCTCGTGTCCGAGAAACCCAGTGCGTGCGATGTGGGTGCGGCTCGGCGCCGCCCCGAGTGCTCTGGCTGCTTGGGTTCCTGGCATGCTGATTTGTGACTTAAGATTAAAATCACATTGCCAGGGATTACCACGCAACCATGACCCTGGCTGCTCCTCCAGAAGCCATAGTTACCCTCTCTCTGCAGTTCGGGAAACAGATGCATCTCGTAGCTCCTCTCTGGAAACAGAAGAAGCCGACGGCCCTGGAAGATGCTCGCCGGCCCTTTCATTATGCCCAGCCGACGACCTCTCTGACGAGGTGCAGAGCTTAGCTGATTGGTGAACAGTGACTGGTTTCCGCTTTGTTCACAGTGGCTAAGTTCTGCACCTGAAGAGAAGGTGAGATGGGGACAGTTAAGTTGGAGCCGCTGGGGCAGAGGCCGCTGCTGAGCGGTCAGCTTGGGGCCGAGCACGATTCTGGAGGACGAGAGCCCGCCTGGCCCCAAGGATGCACTTTGTCCTGTTACAAATGCAAAGAACGTACTATAAAAGTCCACGGAAGTATAAGTCCACTAATTAGACATCTGTCTGAAAGCTCAAATGTATTGAAAGCTTCAAGAAATATTCTTTTAAAAATCTAAAACCATGCGAATCACAAAAGTCGAGTCAAACTATGTCAGCGGTCGGTGGCCTGTGAGCAGGTCCGGGGCTTTTGGAGGAGGCTCCTTGCTGTGATTTGCGAGCGCGGTGAACTGTCTCTTGTATTTGCAGTCCAGGCTCTGTTTCCTGCAGCCGCCCCCGGGACGAGGCCGAGCCAGCCCCCAGCTGAGGCACTGCTTCTCCGGCTGTCGATTGGACCCGCCCTCCGGTGCCTACTGAGCTGATATCAGTTCTCATTTTACACACTGGCTCAGTTCAGCAGGAACAGGAGTCGAGCCCTAGAGCAAAAGCCTTCCTGTCTGTAAGTGCCCAGAGGCTCGGGAGCCGGGACTACAGCCACGCGAGGACGGGCCGAGAGTGCGCGGCGGGGGCGCCCCTCCATGTGTGTCCTGTGTGCGGGGAACGTGGAGTCACAGAGCTGTTCTGACACGAGAGGAGGGAGCTTCCGCCCGCCAAGGCGGAGTGCGTGTGTGGCGCGGGCAGTGCACGCCCCTGTCACGGTGCAGTGTGGCCCGAAAGCAGTCCAAGTGAACGCGGACGTGAAACGGGCTGCCTTCCTAGCGCCTGTCTGTCCTGTGAACGAAGACCACGTTACGGCCGCCGGCTTTCACAGCCGTGTGCGAGCGAAGCCAGGTGGCACATGGTCCAGCTGTAAAGCCCGTTCTCGGGGCTGTGAGATGTGGCCGGTCCCCTCCTGTCCTCCGCTCGCAGCCCTCTCTCCAGAGCCGAGAGCACCAGGCACGCAGAGGTACTTGTTTACAAGAATTCCTCTGTTGTGACCGGGCAGTAAATTTTATTGCTGTTTCCTTTGCAGGAAAGATCACAGAGAGATTCTTTTTCATACATCTCCTCCTCGCCCTAGTGGGACCAGGATCGCATTGACCCTGGACATCAAAGGAAGGATTATGGGGCTGCTAAAGCCATCAGCCGACAGCCATGTGCATGCCTGGAGTGACTTCCCCAGAGGCTCTCACAGTGGAGCTCGTGTAAAAGGCACGTCCTGGTAAACGGTCTCCTCAGGGCTGTGTGACACCTGTGTCCCCACCCTGGAGATGCCACCTCAAGATCCTGAGTCTCAGTGGAATCTCCTCTGTGAGTTAAGGCAATTCTTACACACAGATGATGGCGGATACACCTGAGACCTGTCAGAAAACCTGCTGAGCCTTTTCCTTCCATCCCCTCAGCATATGGACATTCGTGCAATTCCAGAAGAGCATCTGTATACGGGGACCAGTGAGCACCATATGCCATCCTCCTCTGGGTCATTTCAGAAACATTTTGTACAATTATTTTGACTGATGTGTCCATTTAGATTTTTTCCAAAATTTTTTGTACCTTTTGTTCAAAGTGCAGATGTATTAATAATAAAATGTAAAGGATTAGTCTTTTTGTATTCGTGTTTGCTTCTGAATTTAAT